TTTTCCTGTGAATGTGAATATAGGTAGTGCACCTAAAGATTTTGGGTGTGAGGTTGTTATGGGTTCAAAATTCAGGATAAAAAAAGGATAGAATATCCGTTGGTGCTTTTAGTCCAAGGTTGTTGAAAGTAGTCGGTTTATGAGATATGTGGTGGTTAGAAGGGCTTCCCCCTTGTAGGATTTGGGTATATTGTGGTGGAATAGAAGTGCACAGGTGGAGGCCAGAAGATGACCATTTTTTCTTTCTGTAACTCTTTTTGTTGTGGGGTATGAATGCTGCAAGACTCATAAATGATACATTTCTTTTGAAAGTAGGAGGATAGAGTTTGGTTAAAATAATCTTTAGCATCATCAGAACGAAATTTTCTTATTTTTACCCCTAATTGATTCTGGATCATGATGTGAAAAATGGGAAGGATAGTGCTCGCATTGGATTTATTTTTGAGGAGAAAGATCCAAGAGACTCGAGTGCAATCATTAATGAATGATACAAACCATCGAGCCTCTGAGATGTTAGGAATTTTTTAGGGTTCCCAAATATCATTATGAATAAGACAGAAAGATGTATGACATCTCTCAATTTTGTTTGAAAAAGAAACTCATTTATGCTTGGCTAAACAAGTTTCATAATGAAAAGATTTATTTTCCAACTTATAGAAAAGTTTTTGGTACATATTTTTTAAGACATCAAAAGATAGATGTCCTAATCCAAAATGATGAAGCTAAATAGTAGATTTTTTATTAAATATGTATAACATAGAATATTCATTATTGATAATAGTGGATTTGTTTAACTATTCCAGGTAGTACAATCCATCTCTCTCCTTAGCAAGTCTAATATTCTTCCCAGATCCCTGGTCCTGAAATAAGCAACAAGTAGAGTTAAATAGGACTTGACAATTATGATCACTGGTAAGTTTTTGTCTAGAGATTAAGTTTGTGGATAATTGAGGTACGTGGAGCATATTTTTTGGAGTAAGAGAGGGAGATAAGGGTATGTCTTCTTCGTCTGCTACTATGGTAAGAGAACCATCAGCAGTGATGCTTTTCTTATCACTCGAGCAATGAGTGTAGTTGATGAAGTGGGTAGTGGAGTGTGTCATGTGATATATGGCTCCTGAGTCAATGATCCATACTCCTTTCAAATGCTTTCTAAAGGCACTTAATCCAATGGATATAAGAAATTTACTTGAAAGTTCAAGAGAAGAAGATGTAGGTGATTTTTCAAGTGATACCACGAGTTATTTTAGCTTATTAATGTCTTCTTTATTGAGCTCTCTGAAATTGAACTATGTTTCTTGGTTGGGCTGACTTGTTGTAGTGTTAGCTTGTGATGTTCCCTTTTGTCTACTTCTTTGATTCAACTCATTACCTGGGGAATTTTCATGTAACTTCCATCATGTCTCCTTTGTGTCTTGATTTCTTACAATAGCTGCATCAAAGGGAGTCTTTGTCTTGAGGTTTGGAGAAATCTTTACCTCTTTCCTTCCATGATGCCTCTTTGGATAACACCATTGTTGAACCTTCAGTAATCTTTGGTTCTAACATTACACCTCGTCGGCTTTTCTTAGCACGAATGAGAGAAATGGTTTCATTTAATGAGGGTGTCTCCTCTTTGTCAAGGATCTGAACTCTAACTTGGTATGACTCTGTATTTAATCGTGCAAGAAAGTCATACACTCTATCTTTCTCAATAAAGCTTTTTAGGATAGCCGCATTTTCTAGACACTTGGTCTCTATGCATCTGTATTGATCAAGTTCTTTCCCCAAGCTTTGAAAGTGGCGTATCCATAAATTGAGTTGGTGTTTTGCCTCCAGAATATGAGTTTCGGTAAAGAATGATTTTTTAATTAAATCACATTCATGGTGATGTAGTACTTTTAAGTTTTGGGAGAAAACTATTTTTACCCTTGCAGTGAGGAGAATGGCGAATAAAATTATATTTTATAATTTTTCGGTCAAGTTTGCATATTTGATGAGAAGGAATACGCACAAAGACAGCTTCTGAATATCGTGAGAGTAATGTTAAAGATGAGCACTTATTTGGGATAGGTTTGGGTGAGAGTTTGATAAGTAGTTCTGAATTTTATAATTATTCATTTGATTAATGAGATATATTGCAAAAAGAAGGATGTTAGAGGCGAGTACTTCCCTAAGTGCTGGATTTTTTAATACTTCCTGCGGTGTCACAAAAAATGTATAAATGAATAGTAGTAATAAAATTTTTTAAGAAAATTATTTAAATTGAAGCTAATTCCATAACTTTCATCTCCTTGAAAATTAATATATACTTCTATATTTCAAGTTTATCTATTTGTCGAGTAAAACACAATGACATGCTTTTTTATTATTTTTTTGTGAAAGTTGATATTTTGGTGTATAATTAAATTAAAGAACTTTTTTTTTAGTTTTACCTTAATTTGTGCATTACATATAACATAATAGAATTATTTCAATTTTTTTCATCATTAGAAAAATTCAAGTTGTTACAACATGTTTATTGACGAAAGATATGAACCATTTAGTAATTGGCATCATTGGGGTGACTAGGGTAGAAATTTTGAATGAGTTTAGATAATTGGCATGTTTCGCAAAAGAATGCTTTATAATTTGTATTGACAAAAGTGGGAATATTTTATTTAGGTATATGAAATTTGAATGGTTAAGTCGAAAGTGTAATAACATTATTATATTTTTGTTAGAGGAAGATACATATTGAGCATGTTTCTCTTATCTTTAATATTTCACTTTAACATTTAGGAGGTAGAGGCTAATATTTTCCTTCACATTGTCCATTTGCCTTCCCAATACTAGATTCTAAAATTTACAATGAGTAGGAAAAAAATAATATTTCAATTTACATCTTCGATAATTTTGCTTATTAGTAATAATTTGGAGGAACTTGGAGAACTAAGTTAATAACTAGTAACTAGTGATGTTGGTAGATAAAATGCCAATTACTTGTGATATTAATCCTTCAACTTTTTTTACTGTAGAGTTTCTTAAACATGGATGAAAAGTGTGAAATATGTAGGCACTCCTAGTTAAATGATAAGAGGGTCTAGCGTTCATGATCTAAAATTGTGTATTTTCATTTTAGAAGCATAAGGCATTGAAGAGCATACCTTCCTAAGCTTCTACATTGATGTTGATTTTGGGTGCCGAGGGTTTTGTTTTGAGTTTGATAATTAGTGAATTAGAGATGATTTTTTGGATGGCAGAGGTGTCTTGAGTTCTTGATTCACAATAGGAGGCGACACAAGAGGAGTTTTTTCTAAGGTCATTTTATGTTTGGCCATCATCATGGTTTAAATAACCAGAATTTTAGAGAATTAAGTGGAATAATAAGAAATTTGAGATTACTCGAAGGATAGAGATGCATATCCTTGATACCATGTCGAAAAATATAGGATAAGAATATCTCATTTTTTACTTATTCCATGGCAGTAATTATTGTGTAATTTATTGAAAATACAACTGTCATGTATATAAAGAAATAAATAGCAATACTCAATTAAAGATATGGTTCATGGATAGCAATAGATTGAAAGAAGGATCACAGTATTAATTGGGGTCTGAATTCCCAAAATCGGTATTTCCAGAATGGGAAATTCTAGTGTAACTGCAGCTGGGATTATTCCAATTTTGGAGCAAAAATAGTGGGGAAATTATTTGGACAGTTGTGGCGATCATGCAGATGGCTGGATACATGCAGGTTGTCTTTCTTTCTTAAATAATCAACTAGGTGTTCTATTCAGCACCGCTAGCTGCAGGAGGTTTCCCAGAATTCTAGGAAATCAGTCATCGCCGAGAGCATTTCTTAAAATCGACCCTTGAATTGTGGAGAACAGTCCGCCACCTTTGTTTTCTATATTATAGGCGTCTTATTTCGAGAAATAACTACGTGATTTCAACACTTTGTTTCGGTGTCATTCAATCCATGGAAGTAAATTCTTCAGAAATGGCTTTTTGTGTATGCTTGGCTTGATTATATCATTCTTTGACTCACCTGTATTTTAACGTGCCTTGTCAAGCCATTGTGTCTGGCTTGTCCATCTCCAGCACAATCTTGTTATGATCTCGACATGTGCTAGACCAGGGAACATAACCATTATTAGCCCTATTTACTCCAACTAGTTAAAATGTCGAACTTTGTCTTGTGGAGAGAATTCATTTCATAAAGCGTTTTTTGCTGCTAACTGGGTCTATAAGAGAGAGACAGAGCTGTGAAGCTTTTTTTTATTGTAGAAAAAATATGTAAAAAAAAGGCGAGGTTTTCACAGCTCTAGCAGGCGTGTTTATCTATTATCAGCCATTCAGAGTTATTATTCCAAAACATAAAAGTCTTTGCAAGACTGCATTAAGACTTTAACATGCTATTTACCAAAAAAATTTCTGTAATGATTTGGAAATAACTTAAATGTGCTGAAGTGAAGTATGAGTACTTTAAAAACTGCCATATACTATAATACGTTTTCTGGAGACCTTTCTTCGGTCATGCAATGGAATGATGAAAGAAGAGTGAGTTCTGTCAACAAGCTTCAAGGATGAATGGTAATGTTAGGAGAGTGTATCCTATGATTTATTTGTTATATACATCTTCATTTATAGTTTTTTGTTGGGTAAGAAGATAGTGCTGTCGTAGAATGTTTCAATAAGTTCTTTGCGCCCCTGCAGCATAGCTGCAATGCAATTGATAGGTGATTACAATAATTGTTCTAGGGAATCAATTTTCAGGTATATGGAATATCCTGGTTGAGCAACAAGGTGTTGTTTAAATTCTCAAGCTCAGTGGAAGCTGAGCTGGTTGAGCTTTTTTTATGTATGTAGCTAAATTCATTTTCATCTGTGCTCTGCAGATGTGTGTAAAGTATGTCCTTTAATATAACCACTCTGCAATAGAGGTTCATTCAGGCACACATCATTTTTTGCATGTTATAGTGGATTTGCAGGTTGCTTCAACGATGATACTAACCTTACAAATTTGCCAACTATTGTAGGAGTTGGCCAAGGATGGAGAAGGGGATCGAATGTACAACAAGAAGGATATGGTACTGCAGCTGTGCTTTCTGAAGAAGGTATTTACCTAGCAGCATCTATCTATCGCCCAGTGCTTCAGGTATAAATTTTTAAATATGCTCAAACTTTATGCCAAAACATGTAGTGATTTTTTTTCCACTAATAAGCTAATCTTTATTTTTATTTTTTTCGTAGTTTACTGATAAAATTGCATCAATGCTACCCAAGAAGTATTCACAACTTGGGTATGCTGCATGTTTCCTATTCCCTTTATTATGACGAACCATAATCCAAATCTTGACCTTACTTGCGAACCACCATGTTCAATTTGGCAGAAATGATGGCTTATTAGCATTCATAGAGAATTTTCTGAAGGACCATTTTCTGCCAGCAATGTTTGTGGATTACCGAAAATGTGTTCAACAAGCTATAGCAAGTGAGGATCAATCTCATATACCATGAATCTTAACCTTTTTTTTTTCCTTCTCAATTGTACTGTTGTTTAATTAGCTTGTAATATACTGAAATAAGGGACGACATCTTAAGATGTTATTATTGATACCCTGCTCATGCTTTTTTCATGTCTGTCATGGGCATCATCTTTCTCTCATCAGTGTGCTGCTTTTGCTACTCCTAAGATGGTATTTTTGTAGTTGTTTCATTATCATAGTGTGATTTTTTATTAAATTGTGGAGGTCAACCTTAGAGTCTATAGATTTTTATTTGAGCAGATCTAAAACTGAATACATGCGGTGTAATTTTAGTAGTAATCGATCTAGTGGGGGATAGTGGCTTAGGACGATCAAATCATTAATAAGAGTGCACATTTTAGATAACTTTGGTTTGTTGTTCTTAGTGATTGTGAAATAGATGGGGTTATTATTAGTAGAATTCAACTTGGATGGTTGAAGTGGAGGAATGCATCGAGCCTGCTGTGTGATAGAAAAAGCACCCCTCAAACTTAGGAGAAAATTCTATAAGATGATGATGAAACCTGCAATGCTTTATGACACATAATGTTGGCCATTAAAAGGGAAGCATAAAATTAAGTGAAGTGTTGTAGAGATGAGGATGCTCAAGTGGAAGAGTGGGTTTACTCTTAGAGATCTATTGCGAAATGAGTATATACATGAAAATGTTGGAGTAGCTCCAATGACAGATAAGATTAGAGAGTCACCTTAGATGGTTGGGACACATAAAACGTCGGCCTTACGGTGACTTGAGTAGGAGAGTTTATATTGGATTTGATCTATGTTAAGAAAAGTAGAGATAGACCTAAAAAGACTTGGCTAGAAAATATTAGAAATGACATTTTTTTATTAAACTTAAATGAGAATTTGACTCTTAACAAGACACAAGGGAGAAAAATGATTTATGTAGCTGACCCGACATAGTGGGATAAAGGCTTGATGTTATTATTGTTATTGTTGGGAAGGATGAGAGCCTGATATATTGGGGGGCCCACAACTAGGAAGGAGGAGCTGTTTAGGAAGGTTCCTAATCATGAGAGAGTTGTTTAGGAAAGATCATAATTAAAGAAACTTATTTAAGAATGTTCCTAAGCAAGGGAGGAGTTGTTTAGGAAAGTTTTTTAATTATGTTTATGCTATTTATGAAGTGTTTAGTTGTTTAGGATGGTTTCTTAAAATTATTTTAATTGTTTAGGAATGTTTCCTAAATTATGATTAATTATTTAGGAATGTTTTCTAAATCATGTTTAATTATTTAGGAAGGTTTCTTAAATTATGTTTATGTTAATTATGAAGGTTCTATTTATTTAAAAAGGTTTCCTAAATTATGTTTTTGCTAATTAGGAAGGTTCTAATTCTGTTCTACGGCTATTTAAGCGAGAGTTTGTCTATGGTTTAGGGTATGATATTGCAAAGTTTATTTTTCTAGTGATTGTTTTGAGTTCCTAGTTGCGTCTAGGGCTTGTGGAAGAGTTGATCTACCTCTTGAATAGTAGATCATTTGTATCTTGCTTTATTATTGAATAAGAAATAAGAAAATCATCCCTATCTTGGTGTTCATATGCTGTTCTTCTCTTTTATTTGCTATTTTTACTCCAATGTGCATCAAATTGGCATAATAACACTTTTTTGGGACCTATGGTAGCAAACGTGGAGGCGTTGGAAAGTAAGATGGATCAAATCATATTCGATGTGGAGAAGAGGTTTTCATCAATGGAAGGAAGGTTTTCTAACATGGAAGACATGATGAGGAAGTTGATCGAGATGCAATCGAAGGCTTCGTCGGCTATTCTTAGGGCTGAACTAAAGGGTAAGGAAATTCTGGAGGAGATGATGAGGAAGCTTCTAGAGATGCAATTAAAAACTCCACCGATGGTTCCATTGGCTAATCCTAACCAATATTTGACTAGGATTCCCTTAGTTGAATCGAAGGGAAAGGAGATCGGACAGGAGGGAGTTCAACGAGGAGAGTTTCTTTCATCAAGAGATACCTCATGGGGCTTCGATAAGGGGTTGATCAGGGTTTCTAGATGAGGGGACAACAAGGAGGGAAGTTTTTGGTGGAGGTGGTAGCATGGTTTAACATTGCGCAATATGAGGCTCGCCTTGAGGCCCGCCTTTGCGCAATTCCAATAAAAAACGCCTCGATGCTTATGCCTCGAGTTTTTATATGTGGCTTGCGCCTCAACTTGGTTGAGGCTCGCCTTGAGGCCCGCCTCGCTTCAGTGGCATGAGGCTTACGCCTCACGCTATATATATTAAAACTTACATAAATCTTGAAGTAAATGCCCGACATTGGACTCTATAGGAGAGGAGGAAGGGGAGAGAGCAGTTCATCATAATGATGATTCAAATGAAGAACCCCTTAGTGATGACAGTGCTGATGACTTATGAGTTCTTATGTAATATGTCATTGTTATTTATTTTTTGAAATTTGAATTACATGTTAATGAAAAGAATACTGGGATTTGGGAAAGATAGAATTTTGAGTTGAATTATATTTCATGTTGTCTTATTATTGGGATATTTTGATTTCACTTCATATCTTATGCTTTTTAATGTTTTATATTATTCACTCATTAGTATATAAAAAATTTATCATTTTATGTTTACGCAATCTTTTGATTTTGAGACTTACACCTCAAAACGCCTTGAGGCTTACGCCTCGCCTCACGAATGAAAAACGCCTCAATACCCGAATACGCAATTTTAAACATTGGGTGGTAGGATGGATGACCATTATGGGAGGCATTTCGGTCAAGGGGAGTGGGCCATCGACCGACCATTATGGGAGATCTTTTGGGTAAGGAGAGTGGAAGACCGGAGGAGGGGGACGGGTCGAACTATGGGGATTGGGTCATGTGAGGCGGAGGGAAGAAAGGTGGGATTCTCACCCTTGATACACAGGGGAAACATGGAGAGATCACGACAACCGTTACACTGGAGGAGGAAGAAGCCATTAGGGTGGTGGTGATCTTACGGTGGCAATTCTAGGTTCACTGCACCCTAATCTTGATGTAAAACATGCTGAATATCTTGTAGCATGAGTTGCACCTATTCATTCTCTAGAATTTAGTTCGTATGGTGGAAGAATGGATGTAGACTCACATGTTTTACCCATTCTAGACAACTCATGACTTTTATGCAATCCAGAGATATTAGAGAGCTCTTTTACATCTTCCATCGAGATAATGTCCCAACTGAGTCTTTTATGCATAAGTGCATCATACATTTTTTTCCCCTTAACAAAAAGCTACCAATTCATTCTTAGCATCATGGATTTATTGTTCAGAAGGTACTTATCAAGTGGAAGGATTTGCCGGAGTACGAAACCACATGGAAACCTTACGAGCTTATCAGGAGACAGTTCTCATCATTCCACCTTGAGGATAAGGTGCATTTTTTAGGATGGAGTATTGATACGTTGGGGGGCCCACAGTCATGAAGGTACTAATCCCAATTGGTTTAGTATTGATGACTACAAGCTAATCATGCTTACCCCATAGTCTACCTGGATAGTTAGCAAAGAAGACTTGGATAGCCTGGCTAGCAAAGATAAATGGATCATATTTTCCATATCTTTTATCTCGCTTTACTTTTATAATACTATAAAGTGGATGCATCCTTGTTCCTCTATTTTGCACTTGATCAAATCAATCACAATTAAAAATATACAACTTGTTCCCTTCACTAGGGCATTCTAACTATAGTACTTCATGTAAGATCCTATAATACTCACAATCATCACCCGTATGATTGTTCCCTTTCACACATACACCACAGTTTTCTATTTTCCAACCTTCACATCAAGCTTTGGTTTGATATCTATACCATTGCCAATAAAAAATGTCAACATTTTACTGCTCTGATAGATCCCTAAGCTAGATCGTTAGTCATTGCTTTTGCAAATCTATGACTTCATTGTGGACTTGATTGGTGCGGAAAGTTAATTGATTATGATATATAAGATTGAAGTGACTTGTCGAAATACATAAGGTCTCTTTGAACTAATTTGGAAATTCAAATTCCACTCCCTTTTCCTGCTTTAATACTAATGTTGTAGTTTGGATATTAACGAACTTCCTGCAAAAGTTTTGAATTTAGGGTCTCTATGTATTTGTCTAAAAAAATGTAAGAAATCTTTACTTAAACATACTCAAGATATGGCTCAATTTTAGCACAATCTAGCAGTGTGTACAACATAACAACTCTCATCTCCTTATCTGTCAAATAATGCACAGTACAAGCACCTACTGCCTTGCAACATCCGTTGAATACTGATATGTTACTGGTAGATGGACATACATCTAGATTATCCAAATTTTGAGGTATAGTATTCCTTGTTGATTGTAACTCTATGTCGGAGTAGTATGAGCAATATTGAGTAGTCTCATTGATGAGGACATCCACCAGAGATTTCGACATACTTACCATCGGTGTAATCGTAGATTGACAGCTACGACTCATAGTTTCTTTTATGATGTTTTAGTGCATTTCTTTTAGTTTTTTTTTTTTTTTTTTTTCAGTTTTCCACTTGTATCCCTATGAGGGATTTGTGTCATGTTGTAGCCTGAGAACATTTGTGTTTCTTACATTTTGTGCTTTGGAGGCCTATATATGAAGGCCTAGTCATTGTATTTTTTTTAATGATGATTATGAATGAGAATTCCACTTTCTTGCTTGATCTCTTTGTTAGTTATTGAGAGGAGAAACCCTAGGCGAGGGTGAGAGCGATACCCGTCAACCTTGGTGGATTCCTAGGTTCGCGGTTCTTCGATTTATTCTTTCTCTTTTACCTTCACTCCAATCCCATTCCACCACTGGCCAGCCTCCCCAAACCCTTCCTCGTTTCGCCTCTTAGAGTCGGCCCTACCCAACCCGACGACCACCCTCCCCACTTGGTCGCCCAAGCCGCCGACCCAATTCCACATGCCGGTCGTCCCTCCACCACCCCACTGAAAGTTCA